TGGCCTTAAAATTTTCTTTCTCTAACTCGCTTAATAACTTGGTATATAATCCATGTTCATTCAGCTTTTGCCTTCATTTTATTTCTACCATTCAGACTCCTAGCTTTAATTATACTTTATAAGTATTCTTAGTCTCTCACCCTTTTGAACAATGTTCTTGCTTCCAAGCGCTTGTCGTTTTTAATTTCTAATGGTAACCATTTCTGAGCGATGCTCGTCACTTATCGCTTTTAGATTGCACAATTTATTATTCTGCTTGATATGTAAATTCACATGTTTTGTTACCAACTGATATTGTGGTGAGAGCTGTCTGCTAGACATAATTGTAGACAAGAATTTACGTCAATGTTTACGTCCTAAATCCGGGTCATGACAAAAACAATAATAAAGCTTAACCTCGAGGGACTCACCAACCAATCACAGCAGACTTAATGTGTGCAAATGCGATTCGCAGATATATGGCCTGACTTTCTAAGAAACTGCCACAAAGAGATGACAAAATAACCTTGAGCAAGAAAACAACCAATCAGAAGAGGTTGCTTCTCTGCTAACAATAACGAATAATAATGTTGATTTTCTCAATAAACGATCTGTTGCCTAGTTCTCGCCTTCTATCTTTACAATATGACTAACTGACCTTATAAACAATCCCTGATCTTTTACAACACCATGTAACTGTATAGCCTTGAAGTGAAGTTGCTGACCCGTGCCTTTTTTAATAATCGATACTCTCATTTAACCTATATCAGTCTAACAACAATGGTCAAGTTGAACCGTTAATTCAAAATAAGTATTATAGGTATTGTCCTCTGTTATTTTGACCTCTGGTTAGGCGGTCGCTGTGATCACAGATTGTTGAATTACTCTGAATGACCGAAACTTTCATTATTTGTTCAGAATTACCTGACTGTATGGCTGCTACTATACACGAATCTTAGTTTCTTCTTTTAATACTAAGAACAATAATATTTATATCACCATACTATATCTGTTTAATACAACTAATAACAGAAGATAGATTACATTGTGCTTAGGCCGTTTCGCACCATCAGATAGACTTGAACAAATTACATCATTAAGCCAACAAGGCTAAAGTCCTTAAAACACTTGATTCACCTTGAAATACTACTAGCGAGTAGTGTCTTTCGCTAAACCATGACATTTCTTGTTAACTGTCAACTCGGTTGATTCATATTTTCACCAAATATCATTATTGTTCATATTTACGCGTACAAACTGAATAGATACGGCTTAAAGAAGTCGTATTTATTTTTTTCAAAACATACTCTATGTACTAAAATACCTATTAGATTAAGAGAAATTTCAGTTGATTTTACATATTCGCTTATTTATTCAATTGCTTTTTTTATATATACATTTCTTTATTCACTACTTACTTACTATTCGTACATGCAAATGAATTGGTACATCTGATATTACCATAGTGATGCTATAAATGACAGGTGTATGTGTATATAATACATGCTCTGTTTAACACTACCTAGTGAAGAGATAAAAACGCATGGTAACTTCAGCTATACTACTATTACAACAATTATTACTACTATTATTCTTCGTGTGTTTACCAGAATAAAAAAAACTTAAACAATCCAGCACAAAAGACATTGAATCCTATTTTCAAATATGCTTTCTTGTAATATCATGAATAACAGATTATTGATCCTATTTTTAAGTCTGTCTGTAACTATTCTATCCGTGAGTGGATTTAGAATGAAACTACCCAGCTGGAATGATGTCTACGGTTATGAAGCTATATGGAATTCCCCAGCTAAAAATGAAGAGAAATTTAGTAATCATAATACTAAAGCAAATTTCAATAATACATTTAATAAAAATCCCAAAAAACAAAAGTTAACAAACTCAAAAAATCATGGTTTCGCTGAAAATTTAATGCTTATCGATGGTGTAGCTAAAAATGAAGGGACTGTATTAATTAATCGACACGGTAAATGGGGTACAATATGTGATGACAATTGGACATTGAAAGAGGCAAATGTTGTATGCCGTATGCTGGGTTATCCGCATGCTTTACAAGCTACAACAAGAGATTATTTCTTTTCAAATAGTGAATGTAAGTCGGCTGTAAAATCTATTCATGTATTTTTAATTACTAATAAGTATTATTAATGTGGCTAACAAGCACTACTGGTTGATATGAGTGGTATACAACTACTTATCCCAATCAATCAGTAGTGTGGAGCAATACGCATTTATGCTTGCCTTCTTAATTACCATTTATGGTATCAAGCAGACCACATATTCGAAAGGGGACAGTGGGAACAAAACGAAATGCCAAGTGAAAGTAAAATCGTTATGTAAACAAGCAATTAAATAAATTGGACGAATAATTTTGAGTTCAGCTCAGCCAGTGATAGTCGAAAGAGGAAACTATGATTCAACAAAAATTAGAAACAGAACGGAGGCATCTAGTTACACGGGTAGTGCTAGAATGTATTTCACAGTTCATAAAGTAAAATACTGCCTCGAATACCTACATTACCATTAATTTTTATGCAACGACAAATGTTCTTCAATTATTCATTTATAAACATAAATACGATTACTATCGAAAGGAACATCTTTGTTCTTAGATTGGTTATAGTTACTTACATGTGAGTGTAAATTTACACCAAAATTACAAAACAGCTCTTGGATATCCATTTCAGATCACTCCACACTATTAATACCACGAATTCGTATACATGATAGCCAATTCATTAGTTGTGGAACTATTTGATATGATATAGAATCTCAGAAAGAAAATGATTTTCCCTAATGTGGTCAATACTTCCATCATGTTTACGAGTGGTCAAAAATGCTTTAGCAAGTTGAAGTAGGAATCCCGGTTGGTTGGTTGCTAAAACCTAATG